GTCACATGAAAAGATGCACCAGAATCAAGTATCCACTCATGGTGCGGGAATTAGCAGTTAGATTTAATTTAGCAGTGTATGCAACTGGACTTGTAATCATATAGACCTCACTATCATTTATATCAGAAGTAGATGCTAACACATTTACCTCATCTCTCTCCTTAGCTTTTAGTTTACCCTTCTCCTTATGACAATCTTTTATAAAATGCCCTGAGTTTCTACAACCATAGCATTTTCTTGCCTTAGTCCTAGATTTTGATCTAGACCTACCTTTGCTCTTCTTTTTCCATCCATTACCACTTGACTCGCCACTAGTTTGATATCCCTCATAACTATTTTGCCTAAATTGAGTTCTACCCCGCATCATATATACCTCACCATTCCTCTTATCATGTTTTTCAGCCCTAATTTCCATTTCTTTACTTCTAAGGGAATCTATGACAATTTCAGGTGTTAACGTGTCTCTACCATACTTAATGGCGTTCTTAACTTCCTTATAGGAATCAGGGATTGCATTGAGCAAAATTATAGCCTTATAAGTTTCGGACACAGTCTCATCACAATTAACTATGTCTTGCACCAATTTGTTAAACACGTTTAGATTGTCATCAAGATCCTTTGAGGGATCCATTTTGAAACTGAAAAAACGTTCAAGCAGGTAAAGTTTATTAGGTGTAGACTTAAGCAAATACAAGTCTTCTAATTTCTTCCAAAATTCTTTAGTGTTTTTTAATTTACCCACCTTTCTTAAAACGGCGTCAAACAAGTGTAAGATAATTGAGGTATAAGCAAGCTCATCGGCTTCTTCTCTTTGTTCTTGTGAAAAATTAGTTGAAAAATTGCCTTCAATGGCTTTTGAAACCTTTTGTTGGATTAAAATACCCTTCATTTTTTGTTGTCAAATAGCAAAGTTACCCTTTCCGTTAAAAATTCCCAAATCAAAACTGTGAGTTGTTATCTTCACACAATAGTCAAAAAATGCACAAACCACAATCAAACCACACAAAGTAATCCTAGAGGTCACAGACAATATACACCGTTCTAGATTCCCAGGGTTTCGTAAGACTCGCGGTCTTAGATCAAGAGAATGTTCGAAAGGGTAAAGTCACGGTATTTCTAACGGAATAAGTAAGCAACGAAAATAACAGTGCAGCAAAAAATACGTCTAGCAGATAACTAGTCCCACAGTAATTTGATCACTAAGAATTACAAGACTGATTTTAAACCAAAAACAAATACTTAATCAAAAAAATCAATCAAGAGCACGTAACCCTAATTTTAGCACAAGCAATGACAACCCCCAACCTATTGTCACCCCCACACGGTGACGCGCTAATGCTAAAAAATTAACGGGTTAAGCCAATTTACCAGAGCGGACGTGTCTGAGTCCGTATAATCGAGAGAGATGTGAATCTACTGCTTTAGGGCCGCAATCTTGGCCTAAAGTAATTCAGTAGATATATGCAGATTCAACCATAGATCCACCGGGGACAAAATTGTCCAACTTTTTTTTGTATAACTTGAAACAAAAAATAAACAGTATCAGTACGCTCAGGGGATTAAAATGAGCAAACTGCCCGAAGGAAGTTTGCCCGGAATCGCCGCCACCGCCACGCGCCACACACGAAGGGGCGCCTCAACCTTCTGGTCCCGAATATGGGATCGGTTTCACCGGAAAGTGAATGGATTGGCCGGAAATGAGGGTTGCAACCACGGTTTTTCACCCAAACCCGCGACTCGCCGCCGATTTTTGCTGATTTTCAGGCCGGGGAAAGTTGCTACTGCTCTGATACCGGATGTAGGGTTGATTTCCACCGCCACCACATGTAAAACCAGGCTCAGTTTACCAAAACATCGATACTAACATCGTTGAGACAACTCCAACACCACCACTTGCCGCCGCCCACTCCGGTTGCTACTAATTGGAGAAGGAGAAGTCCAATAAGGTGCCCACAAAGGTCACAGTGAGGGAGAGGCCGAGAGGGAGTCTCACAAAGAGAGGAGAAATTGGCACACACTATGGAGGCCGAGAGCAAGGGAGGGATTATATGCCAAGTAAAATGTCCAAATAGGTAAGTTAGATTAGGGTTAAGTGGTGGACCAAAAACAAGGCTCGACTCAATTAAGTGGGCTTCAACAATAATAATGTAGCCTTCCAAGGAATGGAGCGAGAACCGTGAGCAACACTAAATAAAATAGGTTGCTTCGATAAAAAGTGTGGATTGTGTTGTCTCGATAATTGTGTCGATGTACTAATCAATCATATGGTTGAGGCCGATTGATAATAAACAATCGAGGTTACATCATCGTCCGGGGAGGTCGTTTGACAACAAATTGCCTAACAGAGTGCAATGCGAATGAAATTAGTGATGACTATCTGCTGCTGGCAATAGAGTTCGAGTCCATTTGGAATCCAACTTACTATTCTATGCTTTACTCATTCAAAGAACAGGTTTAGAAAGATAAATTAGAACTCAATCTTGGAGATAGCTATATTCTTTTCAAAAATTCAGTTTATCAAAATGGAACTGCTTATATGATTTCTGACCACACAGCTCCATATCTTGTGGCCTACAGTATTCAAAATCGTGAAGAAAGACTACTGAAAGTTCCAAAAAAAAGCCAGAAAAGATGTGGGGCATGCTAAAAGATCCACTGCAGGAATTTTCAAGAACTTGTTGAAATCCATCGGTTTGGTTATTCTCATTGACAACGTATTTACTGTGTGGTTTCTCGTCGAGCAAAAAAAGGGTTTATGGAAGCAGGTTTACTAAAGGCGCGAAAGCTAAAGGACTGATGGAGACCGACCTAAAGGTATCTCACTTGACAGTTCAGAATGGACACATTCTACTTATTACAACAGAAGAAAAAGTTTATCGGTACAATTTGACATTAGGGGATCGTACTAATAATGGATTACGAGTTGAGGAAGTTTTTGGTCAGCGGTGTGGAGAATGGGATTACTTTTATTCCTAAACCAGTAGCCTTCGTCCATGTCCGCCGGACGCAGCAAAATTGTCTGGACACATTCTGTAAGAAACTTAATTCTCTTGCACTTACATATAGACCCGGTCGTTCAACTGTTAAATTGGCACACATAAATATTTCCTCTTTCATGATCATCTAATTGCGATTTGTTGTATATTTCTCACTGTGGATGATTTATTCAAAAAGTTTCGTTTCGTCCACCCAGAGTTTTGGATAACAGGATATGATGATAATCATTGTCATTATGTCATAGTTGTAAGCTTTCATTGAGCATTTAAAATCAAATCTCGAGTTCATTACTGACTTGTTGAAAATTAAGCCTATGTTTGGCTCATTGTATCTAGGTGCACCTCTATTTCATGAAGAAAAATAAAAAAAAAATGCAAAGAATGGGGGAAAAAAGCAAAACATTTGCAAATTAAAACAAACAAGCATTGTCATGTTCTGGTCAAAATAGTCAAAGCTGGAATTTTCTTCTCTTCGGGGGATGCGGGGCATTAATGACTGGATTTGTCTAATTTTTCCTGTCAGAAACCAAGAATATTCCGATAGAGAAGATGGAGAAAATATGGGGGGAGCATACTTTCTGGAAAAGATTTGTTCCCTGTAATCAAGATAATGAAAAGAGTAAGACTGAGGTAGCATGATCCTGCAAATATGTATGCTTCATAGTCTGTTAGGCCAAAGGTTTATATGCTTTTATCTTCCTGTCGTGGATAATCAGAGCTACATGATATTCTATGTTCTGTATAATGAAACCAGCATTATATTAGAACAGGTTTCCTGCTCAAGTCTCCATTTATAAATTCAGGCAAAAGTCAAGGGAAACATTAATTTCAACAATATATTCATAACTATTAATCATTATTATCTAAACATTTGGTGGGATGTACTACCATTCCTATTTATAAACCACTTATAAATTTGCAAAACAGAGGCTGATTTAAGTTTTTATATTGAGTAATTTCTAACTTTGGCTACATAATATACATAGATAAGATATGAAACAATCTACTGATGTTCCATCTGTTTAACCAATCACTTCCTTGTTGTTTCCTACAATTTTCTTTCATAACCATTGAATTTTTTTTTTTTTTTTTTTCCCTCTAGATCCTATCCACTTGTTCAATTTGCAAATTCATTTGCCTGTAGAAATAACACGAAAAAAAAATTATTTCATTATTACTACCCATCTTCCAAAGAAGTAGAATATCCCAGCCTTTAAATGGCTGAGCATGAAATTAAATTGAAGTTCAATGATTGTGACAAAATAAAGTTAAAATAATAGCCAGGTCTGAAGGGCCATCCTTGGTATGGCTCGCTACATTCGAATAATTTATTCAGATTATTTATCAAAATCAAAATCAAAATCAAAATCCACATCAAACATGAGCTTATTTACAAATTTAAGCTTAGCCACATAAAGTTTTAGTAATATCTCAATTACATCACTAAATTTTAATTTTTCTCAATTGAATCATTGAATTTCACATTTTTTCACCATCCTGTCTCTTATCATCTCCAAACTAACAGGAATTACTTAGTTGTCAATCATACAAAATTGATCTTCTATGTAACCCTGAAAAAGAAAATATTTAAATACGATTATGACAATATCTTCAGCTGAAAAGGTAAAAAGGATTATTTTATTTTATTTTGCTGCTTTTATAACATGAGATGTAATTGCAAGTTGCCATGTCATGCATTGATTACCTAGATGTTCTACTATGATAAGCAACTTTCATAAATTTGATAGACAACGAAAGTGGTGAAATTTAAAACTAAATTAATATTTAGTATGTCTTGAAACTAGATTGAAGTTCAATGACCTAATTGAGAAAAATTGAAGATGTGCTTGTAAGTCCAAGTAGAAGATCAACGTCAAATCATTATGCTTTTGAAGTCCAAATTTTTTAATATGCCAGCATCAATACAACATAAAAATTCATGGACTAAATCCAATAAAACATAGAACACATACTAATCATGGTAGTTGGATCTAGCCCTTGTCCACCTGTGTTAAAATGTCTCATTGGAAAGTTTAACAAGAGTACAAATTTGTTTATTCGAATCTTGTCTTCAACATATGCTCTGATTGTAGCCCTTGCCTCAATCTAGATTTTTTTTTTCGTTATCAGCTTGAAGAAGGCCATGGCAGTTGGTCTAGCAATTCAAAGTGAAGGAGCGGAATATGCTGGCAAGATTACATGGTTTGTAGTGTTATCTTGTATGGTTGCTGCAACTGGAGGAATCATATTTGGTTATGACCTTGGAATTTCAGGTTTTTTATTTACTTGTTTCTTGTCGATCATCGATGAACTGATTGAATTAACTTAAATATTGAATGAAAATAATTTGAAGTGGTTGATTAAATTCTATATGTTTGTGTGAAGGTGGGTTGACCTCAATGGAATCATTTCTGAAGGAATTCTTTCCACGAGTATACAAAAAAATGAAGGAAGATACAAAGACAAGCAACTATTGCAAATTTGATAGCCAGTTGTTGACACTTTTTACTTCCTCTCTCTATGTAGCTGGTCTTATTTCCTCTTTCTTTGCTTCACCAGTCACTAGGACCTTTGGTCGGAAGATATCAATCTTGATTGGTGGAACTGCATTGGTTGCCGGTGCTGTCCTTGGTGGAGCGTCTTACAATATTTACATGCTATTGTTTGGTCGTGTTTTGCTGGGTGTTGGCCTCGGTTTTACCAATCAGGTAAAGTGACTTCCACGTCTCTCCTTTTTTTCTCAATTTTGTTATCATTCCGTATTTTTATTTATGTGTTCTTCATATTTCTCGAACGAAGATTATAGAATGAATCAGGAAATAAGTCCAGATTTCCACACCAACAGATATAGTACAGTGCAAAGATCTGTACATCTTAATGGCAGGTTGGAAAAAATGAGAAGATTTAGCTATCTAATACTCTTATAGTGTTTATTGTTTATTAAATGACTTTATGGGGCATTTTTCTTCTGTTGATTTTTCCATATCAATATATCATAAAGCTGAGGAGAAAATGTCTTAAGTAGGAAATATTATTATGGAATTTGTAGATACCGGAAACAGAGTTACCTAAAAAAAAAAAAAAAAAAGTCTAATTCGACCTAATCATACCATGCAATCCTTTAAAAATCTTTCTCAGTGAATTATTGAAAATTAAATGGTTCTTTTTTTATGCTCAAACAAAAAAAATAAAAATAAATAATGTTCTTCAGACAATGTTATAGGATGTGCATGCAGATTTATATTTAAGTGAAACAATCGCATTTGTTTTTTATTACAGATTATTTTGTACCACTCGATATAAATTTGTTAACATTCTGCATATCACCTATTGTCTGCAGGCAATTCCATTATACCTCTCAGAAATGGCACTCCCGAAATACAGGGGAGCTTTTAACATGGGCTTTCAAATCTGTATTAGTTTCGGTTTTATGCTAGCTACATTGATAAACTACTGCGCTGTTAAAATCAAAGGAGGTTCGGGTTGGCGAATTTCATTATCAATGGCAGTAGCCCCAGCTGCAATTCTGACTATTGGGGCATTTTTCCTCCCGGAGACACCAAATAGCCTAATCCAGCACGGAAACGACCATGAAAAGGCCAAGCGAATGCTGCAAAGAATTCGAGGTGTTGATGATGTCCAAGTAGAACTAGACGATCTCATAAAAGCAAGTTATGCTTCAAAATCTGTCAAACACCCGTTTAAGAATCTCTTGCAAAGAAAATATAGGCCTCAACTCGTTATGTCAATGGCGATTCCCTTCTTTCTGCAAGCGACAGGAATCAATGTGATGGGGTTCTATGCTCCAGTAATCTTTCAGACAATTGGTTTAGCCGAAAGTGTATCGCTGTTGTTAACAGTTCTGATCTCATTTGTGGGCTTTGGTTCGACAATGGGGTCATCTTTGGTAGTCGACAAACTTGGCAGACGAGCTTTATTTCATTTGGGCGGGATTCAAATGTTCATTACAGAAATTTTAATTGGAGGAATAATGGCAGCCAAATTGGGGGATCATGGAGAATTAAGCAAAGGGTATGGCATATTAGTTTTGATCTTAATTTGCGTATATGTTGCTGGTTTTTGTTTGTCATGGGGACCACTGGGATGGGTCGTTCCAAGTGAAATTTTTCCACTGGAAATAAGGTCGGCAGCACAAAGTATTAATGTAGCTACCAGTCTTCTCTTTACATTCGTCATTGCTCAAGGTTTTCTTGCTATGCTTTGCGAAATGAAGTCTGGAATTTTCTTCTTCTTCGGGGGATGGGTGGCATTAATGACTGGATTTGTCTACTTTTTCCTGCCAGAAACCAAGAATATTCCGATTGAGAAAATGGAGAAAATCTGGGGGGAGCATACTTTCTGGAAAAGATTTGTTCCTTGTAATCAAGATAATGAAAAGAGTAAGACTGAGGTAGCATGATCCTGCAAATATGTATGCTTCATAGTGTGTTAGGCCAAAGGTTTATGCTTTTATCTTTCTGTCGTGGATAATCAGAGCTACATGATATTCTATGTTTTGAATAATGAAACCAGCATATATATTAAACAAGTTTCCTGCTCAAGTCTCCATTTATAAATTCAGTCAAAAGTCAAGGTCAAACATTAATTTCAACAATATATTCATAACTACACATTTGGTGGGATGTACTACCATTCCAATTTACAAACCACTTATAACTTTGCAAAACAGCGGCTAATTTAATTTTCCATGTTGAGTATTTTCTTACTTTGGCTACATAATATACAGAGAAGTTATGAAACAATCTATTGATGCTCCCAACTGTTTAGCCAATCACCTTCTTCTTGTTTCCTACAATTTTCTTCCAAAAACATTGTTTTTTATTTTTTATTTTTTTTCTAGATCCTATCCATTTGTTCAATTAGCAAATTCATGAAAACAAATTCATTTCATCATTACTACCCATCTTCCAAAGAGGCAGAATATCCCGGTCCTTAAATGGCAAAGCATGAAATTAAATTGAAGTTCAATAATCATGGCAAGATAAAGTTAAAATAATAGCCAGGTCTGAAAGGCCATCCTTGGTATGGCTCGCTACAGTCAAATAATTTATTCAGATAATTTATCAAAATCAAAATCCACACCAAACATGAGCTTAGCCACATAAACCCACTTTGTAAACAAGTTCATAAACCCACCAATATAGGATTTAAAGCTTTATACTCCCAGTACCTACTACCATTTATATTTATACTAGTCTTTGCCCGTGCAATGCAAGGGTTGGAATATTTTTAAGGTAATTTTAGTGTGTTAAATGTGCTGAATTATCGTGAATTATATCCTCGACTCAATGTTAGCTAGGGGATGCACTGGGATAGACTTTTCTTATTGAGTATGTTGAGAGACTTATCAAAGCAATACCATTTCAAACGAAGCAAGCAGATGAAGAAGTCCATTTTTCAGTAATAAACATTTTATTGCCAGTGACAATAATAAAGATTTTTCTAATTTGTGATGAAATACGAGAAATATAATGTCTATCCAACTTCATTCCCTCAACTACTTTTAACTCATTGAATGTTTTTCCATTCTACAACAGCATATGAACACCTTATCGGATTTACGAAATGTGTATCTACATTGCTTTTACATGTATCTCTTCATCACAGATTCACAAGAAACATCAACTCCCACTACTCAACAATTAAAAAAGGAAAGTTATTTCAGTCCAAAAGAGACATACTTCATTCAGTTCTTAACTTCACTAAAATAGACTGAAGTATATTATTGAAAAATTTCGATTCTGGAACAAACAATGCCATTGAAGACCTGACATTTCTAGAAAGTTCAATTGCAGCTATGGTAGGAACTCTAAGCTAACTAAGAATCTCTCTAAAGAGGTTTGCAGGGTCAAAAATTCTCTTCTCATTTGTTGCTAAACGAGATGGGGTCAAAATGATGCAATTGGAGTCAAACCATTTGTTCTCTGCAACTGGAGTTATTCAAGACTCAGCAAACATGTCTCTCTCTTTTTCTAACACATTTGTAAATATTTATGTGTCTATATGCTTAAGTGTTGTTTGTTTGCTTGTTGACTTACTGTTAATTATACGGGGAATTCACCTTTGATTTTAGTGTTCCATGTATTTCATTAAAATAATCTCAGGCAAAAAAGCATTAAACAAAAGCTCCACATTTTGAAAATAAATTGAAAAGAATAAAAATTGATTTTCAATAGATTTCATAAGGGAAATAATAAGATTAGAAGAAACTGGCAGAACATATGTTTCTTTTCATTTCTCCGCTTATAATAAAATCTATGAAAAGGCTGCGCACATCATAGCGAGCTGCAAATTTAGCAACAACCCATCTTTCTTGTTGAATTGATAAAAAATTTTACCTTGCTTGCTAACTTTTTCATTCTTGACACAATCAATTATCCAGGATTTTCCTCTTTCAAAAGATTGGACAATCTAACTCAATCACAAATCAACAAGTAGAACTATCAATCATTGCCAGCATACAATTTAATTTTATTCCATCACTTAAATTTGTTGAATGAAATGAAGCATCCAGACCAATAGCTTTATTTGCATCCAAATGTTTATCTAGATCATTCCTTCCTAAGTTCCAGAAGATTAGTCTGTAGAAGGAAATGCCTACTTAGCTTTTGCTTACTCTTTAGTCTAAGAGAAAGTAGCAATATTTTGTTGGGATACATAAAATCTATCATAAGAAAGCTCAAGGGGAACCAATCTTGCAGGCTGGGGAGGGAAGGCCTCACAACTACTGTATAAACAACCTGTTCCTTCCCATTCCAGACATCTTAATTCCTTTAGGATCAATAAACCAACACACCTTTTTTAATCACCAACTTATAGTGACGCTCTATTCACATTATGGTTATCATACCTCTGAACCCCTTTATATTCTGTAGACTATACATCCCAATATTTCTCGAGAATTGTACAATTTTAAGTATTCAGACTTTCAACTCTATCTCTTATTTTGCCCCTTGGTGGTTATGTGTTTCCAAATTCTTCTTTCCTTGCATTACTTTTCTCCTTTCTGACTAATCCCTTTCTCTTCATGGCAAAATTCTGTATCCATTATCCAGAGAAACCTTTGAGAACAATTGAAATAGATGTCAATTTTTAGAAATAATTGACTATCTTGAGCAATGAGAAAAAACGGTGTATCCAAAAAATGAATAACCCAAATCTTGAACAACTAATTTGTTATTGAAGATACCCCTTCACAAATTGAGATTTAAGCAATTTTTATGAAAGGGGGAAAAAAACAAAATGAAAACTTGCCTTATATTGATCATAACGAGTCCAGTCACTAGAGCTTTAGGGGAAAATGAAGTGCTTCAGGTGGATCTCGCCTACG